GGTGTACACGTATGAACACAAGTGCCAATGCATTTGAAAGTATGCAGTTTTAACAACGTGTGTGTGTGTGTGTGTGTGTGTGTGTGTGTGTGTGTGTGTGTGTGTGTGTGTGTGTGTGTGTGTGTGTGTGTGTGTCCGTATGTGTGTGTCCGTGTGTGTGTGTGTCCGTGCGCGCCTGAACTTGCGTGCGATTTCAGTGGAAAGCGGGGAGGCTCAACTAACGACGTACATTAGGCAACGTCTAGAGAAACGGAACAGGCGGGGAAGAGACGCCGGGCGCGCATGTGTGTGTGAGAGAGAGACAGAGAGACAGAGAGATTAGAGAAAGAACACCTAAGACGTGAGAGAGAAGGGTGAAACCTAGAGTTGCCGAAAAATACGCTAGTAAATGCGTCTAGGAAGTAAAATAGATTCGGTTTTGAAGACACAAACCATCCCAATTATAAAAACAATGACAAAAGTCTTCATGTTACTAAACCCCGCAAATATGAATTTGTTGTACGATTTGAACCAAGGACAAAGCCTTTTTAAAATAATGTATTAATCGAATGCAATCCGCTATTATCTCTTCAACTATTTAAAGGAAATGCAATTGTTACTCTAATAAAAATTTGAAATGAATCATTTGATCAATTAATTAAATTCATCACTTGTTCAATCATTTCACATCCATTACACATACATGAATTTATAGTGACAAACACACCTGATATTTGAAAATTTAATCTGGTACAATTATTATAATTTGTACTAAAAAATGAAAGATGTTTCAAAGTTTATTATTTGCAGAGCAAGTGAAAAGCAATAAAGTAGTAACTCTTTAATGACAGCATTTGTCAGTCAAGTTTTTTTTTTATAAATTATTTATTATTCAAGAAAGTCGAACATCTTACAATATTTTGGTAATTTAAAATGACTTTCGTTCCGATAATTGTTATAAAGTATCAATAAATTCTAGACATAATATGCGCTGGTTAGAGCTATTTTGTACAAAAAACGGAAATCAAAAGAAAAATAGATAAAATTTAAAAACTGATTGATTTGTTTATTTTGCTTTTTGGTTGTGCAGTGGGAAATGCAATCTGTATATTTTCCTTAGATATAAAAATATAAACAAGACATTACAACAATTAGCAAAAGCGAAAGGCAATTTAGAGATTATATCTGCAGAGAAGTGGGGGTTGTATATGTGGTCTTCGTTCCATTTGCCAATTTTTTAAATTATTTTTTGTTAATGCTTTCTTAAATACTTTTGACCTTTTATTTGAAGTGAGTACGTTTTTGTAAAAACAAAAGTTTTTTCTATAAAATAAATTTTACAAATTTGTAGTTCCACATAAATTACATGCAGAAGACAATAGAAAGAATCAAAATAAATATATTCACAGACAGAAAGACAGAGACAAAAGGAAATTAAAAGCTTAGAATAGATAGATAGATAGATAGATAGATAGATAGATAGATAGATAGATAGATAGATAGATAGAATTTTGTGCGTGTGTTTGCGCGCGTACTTGTGAATGAGTGAGTGTTACCGAGTCTTCTTATTTGTAATTTTGTTAGAAATGAACTCTATTACCCGGTAAATGTAATTGTTTTCATTTTTACTCATGATGACCATCATATTGCGAAAACTGTTACGATCGTAATCCTATATTTTTGTCGCAATAGAGCATTACTTAAAACTGACCGACTCATCATCTGTAGCAAGAGGCGAGGAAAGTAACTTGGAAAGGCGAGTAAGGTAGGGAGAGTAAGGTTTAGCTTTTATGAAGCAAGATGAGGATGGAGAGAAAAGATACAACCAGTGTCGAGTTGAGTAGATGATTCTGGGTGCAAAACAATGACAAGTGTTTTGTGTCAGCCACCCCTAACCTATATATTGGACGGATACAAAACAAAATTATCCCAAGCAATGAAGCTTGACGAAATATATCGTTAAGTTAAATCATTTCCAACTGGTTTATGCTAATCCCATTTTGCAAATGATACAGGCAATTCGGTGGTGTGTATGTACGTCTGTATGTATTTGAAACGATTGAAGTTTGATTGTATATAATTTTATATCTACCCCTTTGTTTTTCAATCTTTTAATAAAAATATAGTCCAGTGATTGACACCTTTAAGAACTTTTTCCGGCAATGGTCAGTGTTGCAGTTTATATAAAGGACAAGCTTACAAATACTGAATGACTATCAAGAAATTGGCGCTATGTATTCTTCTGCGTGGATAAATTGTCGATTCGCGCCCTACGTACTAAATTCACTTTTCACCTGCACTATAGGCCAAGCCTGGAAAAGCTGCTTGCCTCCATTACATTCGACCTAACACCCCCCACACACACACGCACGCACGCACATGCACGCATCGTCGCCTGTTCTTTTATCTGAGGAGAGACAGACAAAAGAGCTTCTTTCTTTCTTTTTTCTTTTTTCTTTCTTTTTTTGTTTCTTTCTTTCTTTCTCCTTAACTCTTTCTCTGTTGATGGTTCGTTCTTTAATGTGTGTCTGAATAATTGAATGACTTAATTATAGCATATTTTCGATTCGTGCCCAGTTATTTATTTATTTATTTTTGTCTTGTTTTGTTCATCATCGGAGTTTTGTCGGTTATAGAATGTAGATTAGCGAAAACCAAATGACGTGATAGTTAGCCAAGTGAAAGAACATTATCCTACAAGTCTCAGACGCAGAAATATTCACACATGCATATAAAATATAAATGTTCAAAAGAGATGGTACGCGATCGCGCAGTACGACGTTAAAACAAATAAATACAAAAATTGTCCAGCTACAATAAAAGGTCAAAAGAAGTTAACATGCATACACGCTACAGATTTCTATAATTATATAATTTAACATTACGTTTATTTATTATATACTGTTTATCATCATCGTTATCACTATTATTGTTGTTATTATTATTGTTATTATTATTAATATCATAAAATAAAATAAATTTAATAATAATACTCAAGTATTGATAGTGAATTTATAATCTTTTCTCGCCCTTCCATTTGTTCACTCTCCCATGAGATCTGTTCATCAATACATTTATCTCGTCCAAATCATCCAGCCACTACGTAAAATGAGTAACCTCCTCCCTCTCTCTCTCTCTCTCTCTCTCTCTCTCTACATATATATATATATATATATGAGTGTGTGTATGTGTGTGTACGTGTGTGTGTGTGTATTTCAGTTTGTTCATATGCCTCTCTTAAGCATAAATAATTTATTATACCAGCAAAATATAATTTAAGTAGAGTAACAGATATTTTGTTCTTTTTTTTTAAATTACTAATTACATTCTTTTATATGTATGCAAATACACAGAGACATGCACGTATATGAGACTGCGTTGAACGCTAAAAGTTGTAAATTTACGCGCGTGCAGGTCACGTGCATGCATTTATATCAGCCAGCTGTAGGCATTTCTCTGTTTACAAATAAAGAAATAATAATAATAATAATAATAATAATAATAATAATAATAATAATAATAATAATAATAATGCATAAGCGTTAAAGTGTGACATTAGTTATCAGACGGGCAGGCAAGCATTCTACAAACAACAATATCAACAACACTGACAACTGTTTGGGAAAAGAAACATGACCATAGAAAATGCGCATCAACTTACCGTTGTTGAGACGGACTGCTAAAGGTTGTATTGATGGTGTGTAGGGAGCGATAGCCTTCAGGCTATCGTCTGAATCGTCATAAACATCTCGTATCTTATAACCATTGTAACAGACCCTTTCACTATCGCTTTTAGTCTTCTTAACTAGAAAGGATCGCGGCATGTTGGCGATTTCTGGTGTCTCTTAATTCACTGCTAATTGTTGGTTCTTGCTTTGAGCTCTTGTGGAGGTGGTTGTTGTTGTTGTTGTTGTTGTTGTTGCTGCTGTTGTTATTGTTGTTGTTATTGCTGAGCTTCTGGTTACGCGTGTTTTGGTTGTACTTTTTTTTTTTTTTTTTTTTTTAAAGAAAACTCCAAATGGTATGGACACCACAAGACCGTGTAATGTTTTGTTACTAGCTTGCAGTACTACTGGCTTTTGACAGCTACTGTGGCTGCCTCTCCCACCTTCTGTTTACCGCTGCTGACGCGATTGCCCGCTCGTACAACTACGTTTGTAAGCGTGCGAATTTACAAGATGCGTGATTTATGTTGATATTATTATCACTCGCGCGTGACTCGCACATCAGTTTGTATACGTCGATTCATTTACTTATGAACTTATTTGAACGAATGTCATCAATGCGTATTTGGAAATACTTGGTAAGTTTAAAGTTCCAGTTGACAAGGAGTTGTGTTCTTGGTGTGTCGAGACGTATGATTGCGAGTAAAATGCGTGTGCATGCGCGTGTGTTGCGAGAGGTGAAGGAGCAAGGTAGGAGGGAGAAGGAGAGAAAGAAAGTTATGTGCTTTTCAACTGTGTAAGTATTCGAGTGTATCTATCATGAATGTTTGGCTTACACATGCGTCTGAGTGTATCATGGCATGTACGCGTCGATTGACCGACAACAATAGAGATGTTGGTGTCGATAGGTAAGATACGTACTAGGATGCGTTGTTTATGTCTGTGTGCGTGCAAACTTGGCGATTTGTTTTGTTTACGAAAAACGGTTGTGATGTGGTTGTTGTCACTAACTTATTGCAGATCACCGTTGTTTCTCGTGTTTGTTGCTTTCTTTTTTCCTGACTTCTCTCAATTTTTTTCTCTCGATTCCTTTTTTATACAAAAGAAAATATTCTAGTTCTTTGTTTATTGCTGCCTTTCAATTATTCGTAACCGTAACAATAATTGTTGACGTTGTTGTTGTTGTTTTGATTGTTGTCGCGAAGCGATACGAACCATCTCAGTTGATATGCACCAGTGTTGTCACACGTCTTTACAAGGACACTGAGTTCCAGTCAATGCTGATGAAGACTCGGGTAAAGTCACAAATAAGTCCACGCATGCTGCGCGCCGTCATTTGGTTTGTCTCAGTCGCTGTCAATAGTGATGCACAAAGGAAGGGGAGAGTAAGGAGTAATGGGAGAGTAAAGGGAGAGCCAGAAGGAAGGGAGAGTATGGTGGGAAGGGAGAGCAAGGAGGGATCTTAAAAGATTCAGGGGAGGAAGGATGGTAAGGTTTGAAGTAAAAGAGACATAAACACACTGGATGATTGACAGGGGAGGGGAAAGGCGGGAGAATGACTAGACGAGATATGATGATGATGATGATGGTGATGATGTCGGTGATGACGATGCTAATAATGATAGTGTGTGCGTGTGTTTGGACCAAATGAAAGGAATGATATGAATGCTAACGAAGGAGAACTCGGAGGCACTGGCCATCAACGGTCCAGACAAACACATTTGTTGGGTACTGCTGCTACGCTTCAACTACTGATGGTTAGTTAAGCCAACTCCGCTTTCAAAATTGTCGTCTTTGTTGTGGAGTGGGGTTCTGGAGGGTATGATATTGCAAAGAGAGGAAGAGAAATTGTTTCAAGGGAAAGGCAAGAAACCCACTTGCTCTCTTTGTGTCTTACTTTTTAATTTATATATTTTAATCTATTTTTAGATATTCTAAATTTCACTTTCGTTTCTTTCTCTTAAAAATTATTTCTTTAACTTTTTCGTTTCTTTCGTTCTTCGGGTAAACTGGCGGTAGAAGAAGGAACTAAAAGAAAGGGGGGAAAGTGGGAGGAGAACACGGATCTCTAGGGGTGGCGTCTGCAGGAAAGACGGCGGTAGGGGAGGAAAGAATAGGGTTAAAACGAAAGCAGTGTTGGGGGTAGAGAAAACTACAGAAAATTAGAAGCCGGAGGAGGAGTAAGGGAAACAGGACAACGAAACATGGATGACTATGAAGGATTGAGAGAAGGGGTCTTCAGGCCGGGAAAGAGTGGGGTCTTTAGAAGCAAGGTTGACGCTTGTTGTCCAACCCAGCTGATGAAGATGACAACGACACGAAGCCGAAGAAGAGGAGGAGGAGGAGGAGGAAAAGGACGCCAATATGAGAAATGAGACGACGACGTTGTTCTTGTTTACAGGTTTCTAGACAGAGTTGCAGGACACGAGGCAGGCCAACAGGCGTTGAAAGCGAGAAACAACAACAGGCGTGGTTGGACAACGATGACACGGACAACAGTGATTCTCTACTCGATCGACAGCGAAGAGTTCTTTTCCCACCATCGGCTATTATTGCTGAATTTATTTACAATCAAAAATCAAATCATTTCAATATAAACAAATATTCTAAACACAAAAATAAAACAAAACTCATCTAAAAAGAATAGTATTACTTTTGTTATTGTTATTATAGTAAATATTGATTCTGTGTTTCTTTTGTCTTTTTTTGATGACCGTTTTTTACGGTTGAAAATAAACTTTCTCTTTCACTTTCGGTTTCACTTTCATACATATATATATTGGCACTTTTCTCCGTTTATATTTGCGAATCCATATTTCTTTTGTTCTGAATCATTTTCTCAATCTTTTCTTCAATTTTCTGCTTTTTATCTCCCTTTATTTTTTAAATTATCAGCATTTCTCCTATTCACTCATTTCCTTACTTTACTGAACAGAACACTTGTTTAGAAGAAAAGTTATCATTTGTTATCAGTTAAAAAAAAGAACACGGACTAGACTAGATTGACGTATCTAGTCTGTATTTATTAGGCTTTTGGTTCGAATCCAACTGCTGGCGAAATTTCTGATTGTTTGTTTACATATGCCATGCGTGTACGGACGTGTGTATGTTGAAACGAATGAGATTTACGGAAATGACAAATCTGGTTGGATTTGTGGAACTTTGCAGTATGATTTGTGATGTTTAATTTTTTCCGTGTTTGAATTTTTTTCCTTCTTCACAGATTCAAACTCATATTTTTTTAGTTTTCTAAATACATATTTTTCATATTTTTAACACTATTTTAATTTGTAAATGATTTTCCTCCATGAGTTAACTTTGTCCATAAATCAGTTCGCCTTAGTTTTATTTATAACACACCTCTTTTGACAAAGGACATTGGTTTTTAAGAATGCATTTTGTTTCATATATGCGTTTCCATAACAAAATAAAAACAAAGTTTTGCTGTTAACGGGAGCTTTCTTCGATATTCTCCTTTTGGGCATGTAATATTTGACGAAAGAAATCGGTAACCAATGTAATTATTGAAATCACTATATTTCAATACCTACACATATACATATACGTTGGCAACTTGTAAGTTTATATACATATATTAGCCCGTTGTTACTGAATTATGTTATCAATTCACAACCTACAAACGAATATGTGTGTGTAATTTTAGATATGATGATAGATGAAGATGAACAGAGAGATAACTGTGGAGAGACTAAGATAGATAGATAGATAGATAGATAGATAGATAGATAGATAGATAGATAGATAGATAGAATATGAATAGGCTTAGATAGATAGAATATGAATAGACTTAGATAGATAGATAGATAGATAGATAGATAGATAGATAGATAGATAGATAGAATATGAATAGGCTTAGATAGATAGAATATGAATAGGCTTAGATAGATAGATAGAAAGAATATGAATAGGCTTAGATAGATAGAATATGAATAGGCTTAGGTAGATAGATAAATAGATAGAATATGAATAGGCTTAGATAGATAGATAGATAGATAGATAGATAGATAGATAGATAGATAGATAGATTTGACGAAAAGTCTTTTCTCGTGTGCTAGTTATTGTTATCCGCTATCACGAGACAGCACCGTTTCACAAATTTCGAAATGTGGTGACAAGGGCAACGCTTAGAAGTCGACTAAGATGCTGGCCTCCCTGAAATTCAACCTCCCGCATAGTGAATAATATTGCTTTCTCTTCTTTCCGTTTCTTCTTTCTTTTTCTTTTCTTTTCTTTTTTTTTTTTTTTCTGGCTGTCGTTATCCGAATGTTGTTATTAGCTCATGTGCGTTTTTTCTTTTTTCTTTTCTCTCTCCCCGTCCTTGTGTTCTCCCTCCTTATGTCCTGCTCTTCTAGGGTCAATGTAGTATCTCTCACTCTCTCGCGCACGCTCTTGCTCTCTCTCTCTCTCTCTATTTCCCTTTCTCTTTTCATTACTTTGCTGCTGCTATCATCATCATTTTCTCCTCCTACAACTATGACTGTCACTGTCCTTGCAAGTGATATATGGCACAGATGGTTTTAACAGTAATGATTGTACCACCAACCACAATTATTATTATTATTATTATTATTATTATTATTATCTGCTCGTTGAGTTTTCAGATCAGTCGTACCTGAGGGCTGTCACTGAAAATCAAGTGACACTAACTCTCCTCAATACTCCAACACTCTCCTCAGAATTCTCATATTAATGGCAAAATCTTCGTAACGTTATTGATAGCACCGAAGAAATAAAAAATCTTGGCGGGAGAAGTAGAGGCCATGGTAAGAGCAAATTGAGTAGATTGTCGCTTCCTATATTAAATAAAAACTGGACGCATATTTATCAAGCCGTGTTTTGTTTTGGCTTTTTTTTTTAACTTCTTTTTGTCATTTTTAGAACCTGAAACTCTTCAACAAATGAGAGAGACAGAGAGAGCAATGCTAAAATCAGAGAAAAGCTATCTGTTCACTTAAAAGTGAAACAAACCCTGTATCCTTGTGGTAGTCACTGTGTGTAAATGACACTGGGGGCGTCGAAGAAGGAAATCACAACGTAGGTAACAGCGTTTAAACAAATCCGTTCGTATCAAAAATTAACCAAAATGTCAATCACCATTTTTGTAGTTTTATATGGCAGCAGATGATGTGGTAATGGATTCAAACATCGGTATTCGTGGCATTGGCGGCGGTTATGCATGCACTGGTAACAACAGCTACTAGTTGTAGGTACCACTTGTGGTATCGAAGCTCGCTGTGCAAATCGTGGTGGTGGTGTTGGCGGAGGAGAAACAGGAAAAGGAGGGGGAGGAGGAGGCCGACGTGTAGCCGAAAGAGCTTCAACAACTGTGTTAGCTCGACGAGCAAATACTGGTTGAAGTAGTCGTAGCAATATCGACTTCAATAATGTAATATATATTATTCATTTAGCCGTCTTCATTCTGTCGTACGCACGTATCTAATGTTAAAAGCAACAGAAACTGACGACACTTGTCAGAGATATTTAGCGGTAAAATATATGCGGATTTATTTAATGGGACTTCTTTTTTTTTTAATTCTGTCAGTGGAATTTATCTTTAACATATTTCACTGAAATGAAAAATAAAAAGAAAACGAGAATTCAGTTTGATTTTAAGCTAAAATATCACAATTCACAGGAAATCTTAAAGATGCCACATTATGCATTAGATATGAAGAAATGTAACTGCGCAAAGAAAAATATAACTGACACCGAAAGTTGTTGAAACACGGATATGACACGTTATCCCTGCTGCTGCTGCTAATAATAATAATAATAATAATAATAGTAATTTCTAATCCTAATTCATAGATATAAAGGAAATAGTTTTTGTATGGCTGCTTATAAATTATGTTTAAATATCTGAATATATACAGAAAATTTTAGTCTCTTCCTACAGTAACCAAAATAATGAAGAGTAATATGTTAATGATAATGTTAATTATATGTTATAAATTAAGTCACCATCAATAACAATAGCTAGAATAATAACAATAATGATGATGATGAGGATGGATCAAGCAAAAAGTATAATAAATAATGATTCTCAAATTTTACCTGTACCCAAATTACACAGGCGACTGACATAGGAGCAGTCAAATTCCGTGTTTTCTTTAATTGTCACAAAACAATGGATTAAAGAACCAATATATATACTAAGTTACCCATTCTCAAAAAAAAATGAATACCACAAGCCTATAATTCAGAACTCATAGTCTATCCAATGCCATACCAATATGCTACCTTCTACGCTATAAATTAATCCTAGTAGTCCTTTAAATTAAAGTCAATGATTTTAAAAACATAGTTGATCGCTTGAGTGAATAGCTTTTGCTAATGATGTAATTGAATTTTCCTTTCGACTGACTTGACACTAAAATATTGTCACCAAACCCTCATTTATGATGGAACCTCAAACCCTTGCAATGTTCAATACTTTCTCTCATTAATTAAAGAAATACTGCCGTTAAATATTTTTCGTCGCTTTCCCAAAAAATTAAAGCTATTAAAATGCTATGAACTTCTAAGTATCTTTGGGGATGAACGAACTCTCAATAATTAGTGAAACTATCTAATGTTGAAGGTGCCCACGAATGCAGTGGTCGTGGTAGGAATAGCTAATGTGAAAATTAGGGAGAGCAGATTTCAGAAGAATATAAATGAATAATGGTAGAAACCGGGGTTAGAAATATTTGGCCAAAACCTACGTGACAAATGCAGGATTTGAACCACTCCAGTAATGCTTCCAATTGACTGAAAAACAAAGTCTTTACCATGATGAGCTACGTCCCTTGCCCTAGTAGTGACAGTTGTAATAAAATTGGAATAGCGAGCAACAGCAATGACCGTCACTTTCCAACAACAACAACTACTACGAAAAAAGGAAGGAAGGACACATTTAAACAGAGGCATGCAGGGAGATGTATTTTTTCAGACACTTACCAATGGATACTGTCAAATTTACCATAATAAAAGACATGCAATCGAGGAGAAGAATTTTATGTGCAGACAAGGGCCACTTTGTCATTTTTTTAAAGAATTCCAACACATTTCATTCATCACAAGATGGATTTAAGTGAACCGCTTATAATGCGATACGGGATTTTACAAGTGTAAATTTATCCTCATCAGGGCACTTACTAAAAAAAGAAGTATTCATCATCTTCATTCTAGTTTTAGCCAAATGGATACAACAGCAAAAGCTAAAGCAGATCCTCCATTTTGTTTGAAGGCATGAACCCTAAGCATGCAATGGGTTCGGATCAAACTTAAAATTAGATTCGAAGGAGACGGATTCTCCCCTTCACCTGATTCCAGTTGTTGGAATTTTAAAAAAATACATCAATTTATTATTGGTTATCACCCGACTACCATAGATTTTATATCAAAAGCTGCTTTTAATGTTACTTTACTAATGTTACTGGAATTTTTACTGATTTTACAGGCACTGGAGGAAAAAGTTTTTACCACGCTATGGAGAATTTATGTTAACGAACAGCATCCAATAACGCAAACATATTGATGGAAGCTGTGGAGTTTATGGGTTTCATTATTTTAAAAAATGACTTCGGAACGACTTATTTGGAAAACTTATCTTCTTAAATATAGAAAAAATATTAATATTAGCAGCGCTTGCATATAAAAATATATAAACAGCTGGAAGAATACAAAGACTGTTTTTCTAGGGAGAAGCAAAGTGCTGCTATAAAAAAAAAAGAAAGACATGTTATCGCTTGCATTCCATCAGTGGCGGGTAACGGTAAATACCAGCCTGAAACGATTGCATATAAAATATGTTTCTGCACCTGATTATTCCTGTTGGGGTAAACCTAGAGTATATAAGAACAGGTCGTTGATATGGTCTGCAAGGGCATTAAAGTTTAAATTACATTATATATATATATATATATATATATATATATATATATATATATATATATATATATATATATATATATATATATATATATGACATTTTTATGTTTATACGTTCTTTTTATAGATACAAATATTTAAGTAAAAAGGAACGTATAAACATCAAAAATGTCTTAAATAATTGTCGGACTTTGTCCATTTCATAATGTGTATAGATAGATAGATAGATAGATAGATAGATAGATAGATAGATAGAAAGGGGTGAAAAAATTCTCGATGAAACCCAATTTGAAAAATCCGATCAAATAATGAAATATAATTTTGTAACATCCTTTCTTGGTCGGACCGAGAACTTCTCAGTGCCGTCTCAGATTTTACTAACAACCAAAAGTTTACCATCTAGTGAGAATTCAATTCACCTGCTAACGTCCTATGTGGCTTCATTGCTAATTTATATATATATATATATATATATATATATATATATATATATATATATATATATATATATATATATATATCTTTATATGGTGATTAGCAACGCAGCTGCACACACACACACACACACACACACACACACACATATATATATATATATATATATATATATATAGTGATTAGCAACGCAGCCAAACATCGATAGATGCATATGTGTGTTTACATTCCAAACAGAATTACTTTGCTGTAACTGATGTAACTGACGTGAATGCATAGTATATATATATATATATATATATATATATATATATATATATATATATATATATATATATACTAGTTTCTACATCAAAGTTCAAGTAATCTGACTATGAAAATCTTGCACACGCAGATACCTACTTTCCTCCGTATTCTTCGAAATAATATCCGTTAAGTAGCATACTTATATGCTTTACAAACGCTACTGCTCACAAAGGGCAGCGGCAAAAGTCTATACCACACTTGCTTCCCGATCGTTGATTTTTC